GTCATCGTCTTCATCACCACCCAAACTGGGCTGAAGCAGTTTGTGAACAGGTTCCATTGGTTCCTTATGTCTTCTATCCTGACAAACCTGTTCACGTACAAGTATCAGTTAATCACGTCAACTTCTCGGATCCCTCGTATGTCCACGAGGCTGTTGTGGCCTGGGTCGAGGATTTAAGGGAAAACAATTTTACAGTTTGTGTTACTAAGGCCGGGAGGAATGAAAAGAAAAATGGAAAAACATTCGCTACGGTTGATTGGTTAGCATACCAGGGGGCCCCTGATGGGGGAGTGTCAGGTGAAATGGACATGCCGACATGGTGGACTGGAACGAACTGCCGCACAGTTTCCTTTCCTCCGGTTAGTTGGCCACACCCTGCAATAATGTATATATATATATATTTTTTTTTTTTCTTCTAGTATTCCAAGTCGCCATTCCATTAGTTACTTATAATCGCGCTGTTAACGATAATAAAGGTGGGGAATCTGACATTCTATCAAAGAAAATAGTAACTAGTCAGTCTTCTGTAAAATTCAAAATTTATCCTCTATATTCATTGTTTTATATATATATGTATGTATGTATGTATGTATGTATGTATGTATGTACGTATGCTTTTATGTATGTATGTATGTATGGTGATAAAATGTGGAAGAATAAGACTATTTATGTTGTGGAGATATTATATCAACGTAGAGGTTGGACTACATTCCCAAGACTTAAGGAGCAGCTGTTCTTAGCTGTAGAGCTGTTGGTGCCTATCTGTTAATTCTGAGTTAATGCTGCTGCAGAAAAAGTTCAAATCACTTCCTACTGTCCTCGTATCGGCCGAGCATGAAAGGCGGGGAGTGAAGCATGATGCGTCTTCTGTCTGGGTGGAAGATTTGACGACAACTTCTTTCAAGATCTGTATCAGAGAACTGCAGAACTTTGATGGGGCTCACCAAAGCATCCATGTGGTAAGCAGTTTTTAAGGTTTTAGTTTTTCACAAGGTTGAGTAATGTTTCATAATTTAAGGAAAGTCTTATTCTCTGTAAAGTTTTAACGACGATGAGAAGCTCATTTTCCGTCTTTTTCTTACTCCTACCAGAATAGAGTTGAATATACTTTTCATATGGTTTAACCTTTGTTTTTATAAAAGGATTGGATGGCATTCGAAGAACTTCATCAACCCTTGTTTAGAGAACATGGCTCCTTATACTTTGCCAACGGGAAACAACCATCCAAAGAATTTAACTATGCTTTTTGCGAGGTATGTTTGGTTCACAGTGCGTGTATTGAGGATTTTTGATTCACTCAATCACCCACTCACTCGCGATGCACACATGCACCATGCACCCAGTGAATCACTGAATCCCTCACTTACTAAATCCCACACGCATTTTCTTGATAACTCATTGAATTTCTCACTGACTCACTCTGTCACTCGATTAATCACTAACTCATTAAGCTTTTACCGCCTTTCCATGAGCTTTTTTACTGAAATTCACATGAAACTTACTCATCAACCCGCGTTATTACATATTGACCGTCTGAAGTTTATGTAAGCCATCCACCCGCCATGAAAATAAGAGCCGCAGGGCAGTCCATTAATTTAAAGACTAACCTAGCGGATTTCCTCGCTCTAGTTTTCATATGTATTCTCTTAGGATAATTCATCTCTTCTTTCAAAGTCCTGAAAAGGATGTTTTGGAATCTTAAAGATATTGCTAGATGCACTCTCAGCTACTTCCTGTTTCACGGATTTGTTGTTTTTTATTTGTTTCAATAGGATGTTGTTTTCAAAAAGCCCTACAACGACTCTCCAGCAATTTTGGTATCTGCTAATCACTCAACAAATGGAGGAAACCTTAATCCACTGTATAACTCCGTATCAGCCTGGGTTGAGGTTAGTGATATCTGGTATCTGTGCTGAAGTAGTGCTTTTGCAATTATAATAATTATTATTGCTATTATTATTATTATTATTATTATTATTATTATTATTATGTAAGTATTCAGCATTGTACAACGTACAAGGTACTAGAGATACTTAGCTCTTTACTGATACTTAACTGTGATCCTCTCAGCCGTTAGATTGTATTTCTCTTTGTCTTTGTAGTACATCAACAAGACTGGCTTCAGAGCATGCGTGAAGGAGTTATTTGTGAACCAGCATGATCCTCTCTCTGTTTCATATGCAGTTATGCCAGGTTAGATATATCACGTTTGGTACATAGAGAGAAACGATGGTTGTTCAGAAATATTTGCCAATCATCTTGACTTAGGTTTGGACTAAAAAAGTGAGTTGTTACCCGAAAGAAAGGAAGATGTAAACTGGTGTATGAAACGAATCATAATAAAGTTCGGATATAGCGCGCGCTTTCATGAGTTGTTTTATCAGAGTGTAAAACACGGAGCTAAAGCTGTCATGCCATCTGCCATTTTGTACAATTCCGACCATTTCCCGGACTTCTTCAGTGTTCTGACACCTTCCTGTGTGCTCTACAAAAGTACAGAGCAAAGTCAATGCTTCTTTAGTTGTTAAATAATACCGAGAAATAAACGTTTGATAGCTTGTCTCAAAATTTGTTGAATGAAACGACTGCTATCGATAATGACATTATCGTGAATGTAACAAACAAACTTATAATTACCCCATAATGAAAGACAAGCACTATTTGATACGATAATATTTTTGAACAAAGTTTTGCTAGTTGTTAAATAGATTCAAGTTTAAATGAGACTTTTGTTGTTTCTCTACCTAACTCAGATGTATGTGAGCCAGGTTGGAGTTTCTACAATGGCTCCTGTTTCTACACGAGTGATACCTGTGAGTCATGGTCCAACGCCAGTACAATCTGCAGAAGAATGGGGGCTAACTTACCCGCTATTGAAAGTCAGGAAGAGAATGTCTACATTCAACACAGACACAATGGTGAAAAGGCCTGGATCGGTTTGAATGACATTGCTATCGAGGGATTATTCACCTGGGTGGATGGATGTCCTGATAAATTCCGCTACTGGGCAGAGAGTCAACCAAATGACTTTCGGGGGGAGGACTGCGTACACACTCTTGGTCCCGGGCACGGTTACATGTGGAATGATGTGGATTGTACTGCTTGTCATCAATATACATGCAAAAAGGGTGTGAAAAGATTGTTTATTTATATATTTATTTTTGATGACTCATATTTTGATTTAGTCGCCGGACAGCGGTGTCCGTCTTTGAAACTCGGGATCCTTTAGAGCCTTGTTTGCGTGAACTATTTGTGAAAAAGAGACTTTCCACCAATTTCCTGGTATGTTGTAAATGAATTAGCGTCGTCATCACTTTGCTCTGATAGTTACATAAATACTCATTTCGTCCACCATTCCTTCAATATTGACGATGTTGGATGTTGTATATTAACAATTTCAATACTCAAATACCTATCAACAGATTATGATGAATGCACTAGCAACCCATGTTTAAACGGAGGTACATGTGTCAATGGGAAAAGAAAGTTTAGCTGTATTTGTCCTGCAACACACAAGGGAGACCAATGTGAAGGCGAGTATCATATCTGTATTTCTTTTAGATCATTATGAAGTAACAAAGCAAAAAATTCATAATTGCTTAAAATAGGTTTATGATGACTGTTTGGAGCGTGATACTGCTTTAAGTATTTTACGATTCCCTTCCAAGTTACTCGACGTTAAAAGCGATTACCACTTCGCACGTGACACGGTTCTGGTTTTTAACTATTTAGTTATATATTTTTATTCGTAAACAGAGATTGATGAGTGCTCCAGCAGCCCCTGTTTAAATGGTGGTACTTGTACTGATGGAGTCAATAATTTTACATGTTCCTGTCCATCGCCGTATTTTGGACATAGATGTCAAGGTGATATGATACATTCCTAGTGTTATGAACTACTAAGATTAAAAGTGTTTGGGAAATACTAAAATTAGGAATATTCTGGCTAAATGTTTGGGAATTATTTAGACCCCTCAGATTATCTTGAAATCCTTCTGCGAGTCTTGTGAGCCTTGGTCTGTTAAGAGCTGCAAGACCACACATTTATTTTTCCCCTTTGAGTGATATGTCCTTGACCGATGTCGTAAGACTCAAATCTCGTACGATGATCGTCATCTTTAGTCGTGTTTACGTTTGTCCTTGACCTTGCTTAGAGTCCTCAACAGAGAGTTTTTGTTAGGTTTTGGTTCTCGAAGATTGGTTGTTGTTAAGTACTTTGTTGTTCATTTTGACTGTCTTGTGAGATTGTTTTGGTTGGCGCTCTAAAAATATGTTTATTTTGCCAAGGGCAGTTGTCTCGTAAGCCCAAATATGCTTACGGATGGGGTATTTAAGAGCGTAAACTTAGCGCTGAGTTAGTAGAAGAGTTTCAGAGTCTCAGCGAATGAAATGAAGTCCTTTAGCAGACTTCCGTTTGCGCGAGTTGCTCAAGCTTCTTAACTACAACCGTCCAACATTGTGATTGAAGGACGTTGCATATGGTAAATTAACTGATCACGAAATCTTTAATAAGATTGGTGGCGTAAGTGTATTTTAGCGGAGGACCACATCAAGGTGAAACTGGGTTACCTGTTACAAATCGATGTCAGGATTTAACACAACCTCCTAACTGAAAACCTATAAAACTAATTTCCAGATCCCGGAAAGAGTAGACCGAATCTGAAGTTGCGACTTTAAAGTGTTGCATGTAGAGCTAGATTCCTCTAACATCTCAGGAACTATGCATGAATATATAAAGATCTATGTTTAATAGATCTTGGTGTAAAAAATGTATTACATATCAAATAAGCATTTATTTCGTCACTTAGAAACGGATGAATGTCAGTCCAATCCCTGCCAAAATGGTGGAACTTGCATAGACGGTGTATATAACTTTACTTGTGTGTGTTCCGGCTATCATGCAGGATCACGATGTGAAGGTATGCTAATTGGTGTTTTCTCTAAGGAAACTTTCATATTTCTAAAATTAGGACGTTGGAATGTCACTTCCTTTTTGAAAACCTTTTGGATAAATAGAAGAAGGGATGAGCAGGAAAAGGGTAGATAAATGGCGAAAGTTACGAATTGACAAAATAGCCGGGCGGCAAATAGATGTTTTATTGTACCTAGCTGCTATGCATAACATTAAAAAAGAAATCAATACGCCTGCATGTCTTCTTTGTTTCGTTTTCATCATGCGTTTTACAATTGATGATAGAATCTTATTCTTATGTAGCACTTGCCACATCCTGCAAGAGTCACTATGAAGCGGGAAGGACCTCAAGTGGAACTTATTACTTAACTATATCAGGGTTCACTATCCAGGTAACTCTCTATCTTATCTAATACGACATTCTTGTTTTCCCCTAAGGTCTGCAGTTTCTTTAAAATTTTTCCCACTAAAAAGAACGTCAACTTAAACCTTGCAGTGACCTTTAACTCCTCGTCTCCTAGTAATCTCCTGAACGCTTGATTGGGATGATGCAAGTCAATACGCCTTCCTAAAATGTAAACCGACACTGAAATTTTAGTCAGTGGGAACAGTTCTCATTCGAAGTCCAGAACTAAAGAAGAATTTTCCTAATGACCCTCATGACTTTCTTACGGTGTTTTAAAACTCAGTGGGAAATATTTTTTTTGTTCATAACTTTTCGTCTTAGAACTGGAAAGTAGACATCCCCGATTTCCGAGAACATGGTGAATTGTTTTATTTGTTTTTTTGTTGTTTTTTTTTTGTTGGCCGATGGACGAGGTTAACTGATGCAATGGTCTTAAATTACTCTTGAACGAGCACAGTGACCTACTTTTTCCTTGCACGATTCTGGTGTGATAAGTTATTCCCTTGAAAATAAAAAAAATTGAAAAAATGATAATCATCGGAAGAAAAAAAAGATTTATCTAAAAATGATAGCGAGGTCCATTCGCTGAGGATTGAAATTATGACCTTAAAAGCAATTTTACGAAGAACGTTTAGAGTATATGTCGTTCAGTTAAAACTGGGTAATTTTTCCCAAGGTTATACATTTCTTTTTTTCATGCGCTCAAGACTTTCTACCAATGAAGTGTATTTTCAAGCGTTCAAGCGTTACTTTAAAAACCCTAAGCTTGCTTCCAGGTACCACGTGCAAAATGTTTACCGTGAACCGATGAAATAACGAGCGTGATTAGTACTAGTACAGGCATAAATGGGGTAATGATCTGAAATGGCAAAACGGACTTGAGGTCCATTATTCTGATTTGCGTTGTGCCGTGAGTGTTACTAGATAATTCAGGCGCCACATCTTTAAGTTGTGTGATGTTTGAGATACATGTTTTCAAACACTCTGCTCCCCCTTGTAAAATAAAGATGTTCAGTTCCTCTGAGTTACTCCTCGAAATTTCTTCAACTGCTTTGTATGACATCGGCGGTGTTTAATTAGAATTGATATATTCCGACCGCCTAAGGCTATCTATCAATTAAAATTTTGATAAAGTCAGTAAATTGAATAGTTTTTTAGCGTGTTTAACGCATTTTTGTCATAACGATAGATAGTAGGGTTGAGAATAGCTAGAAATATAAGGCAAAGGTTTTGGCCAGTGTGAGGTCGAGGAGGACGCTCAAGGGTTTTTGAGTACTCTCTTTCTTGTGTATGACAACCACAAGCCGCCCTATATTCCAAGCATTGTTGGATCCCCTCTTTCCCGATATGGCTTTCATTTTCACTCTCTTTCGATTGTATTTAAATTGTGATATACCGAGTAGGTATATCAGAGGTTGCAGTTGCGTTTGCGGTTGCTTCCCATTTTTCGGTTTTGTTATTTTTAGTTTTTACATGTACGCCTTTAAATAGTTTAGAGCATTGATTCACTCACAAGTTCCAAAAGAAATTCCTAACCATAAAACTTTACAATACAGCGATCCTTGCAATTCGAAATTACCCACAGCAGATTTGCAGTTGTCATTTTATCGCATATCAAACATAATTCCTGAAAAACAACATTTTTAATGATTTTCAGCTCTTCTATTTTCCATCATTATGTGTTGAACATCAAATATCTGTGGGGTCATAAGCTGGTAGCTGAATATATCCCGTATGATTAATAAATTATATGACTTTCGAAGAAGAAGACATCTTATTAATCCGCATCCTGAAGTTACTTCCTTTCGCTCTCTTCCAGGTTTATTGCGACATGTCGGGAAACTTAGGTGGATGGACACTCATTGCTCGGTTTTCAAACGCTGACGGGAAAAATTGGATGAGAGATGACGCTTACTGGTGGTACGATATCCAGTCTTCGCAGGGGTCCCCTACAAGCACATCCAGTAACTATGACATGATATCAGAAGCATTCTGGAAGGTGCAGGGAAGCGAGATTAAAATCACACGCAGTGACGATAGTTCAAACTCTGCTCTTCTTCGTACATATAATAACTGCTTTGGTGGAAAAACATACAGAGGATTCATGTCCGCTTATGGAAAGTTTAGTTACCGTAACGTTTGGTCCAATGATCAGTGTCTCGGTAGCTGCCCAGTGTACTTTGGTGGATTGTACCAGACCACTGTTGGCTTTAGTCAAGCACACTGCAATGGCAATATTCAAGGGAGCTACCGCATTGGATTCTGGTGTCAGTGGAGTACAGGTGATGGTTCAGTTATGATGTTTGGAGGAGGAGGAAGTGGATGCGGCCGAGCGGATCATGGTATTGGGATCACTGAGAACAATTACGGAGGATTTGAGGTGTGGGCGGATACTGGGGAGATTGATTTTGGAAATAATGCCGGCAACCACAATTCTCCTACTACTTCTTACGCCTTGAATTTATGGATTCGTTAGGCCATTTTTAGCTTGTTAAAGTAGAAAGGGAACCCTAGTCGTAGACTTAGAAAGCTCTTTCCTCACTGATTGTCGCACAATTATTCCATGAGCGTGCGTTGAACACGAGATGTTAAATAGCCAGGGAGGCGTGTAACGCCGAGCTGGTTATAATTAATCTCATATCCAACATGCGCGAAGGGAATAATTGCTTTATTCAATTTTCCACCTTGGGAAATAGGCTAACAGTTGTCAATGCTATGGGGTTGGGGTGGTGCCTAACGCCGCTTTTGCACCTGAGCCCATGCAACGGTTGGTATATGAATGGGAGTGGGAGAGGAAACGTGCTTTGATGCGATTTTTCACGAGATATTGTCGTTGCACACCAAGATCTCATTTACTAAAGCAGAAATCCTCAATTTTTCCAAACGAATTCTAATCTACCATAAAATTGTAAGACGGATATAAATACCTGAAATTGCTTCGAGTTGATGACTCATGTCTATATATCACATTACAAAAGTACATGAAAAACATGCGATACGAAAATGCAATATACCTAAGTAAAAAAGACCTCTGATTCCTGAGTAACCGAAATCCTCTGGCCGTGCCTGAATATAAACGAACAGTCGAGTTGTAACAGTATTATAGGTGATTTAATGTAAACTCTTTTCCATCTGGATAATTACATGATGCAAAGTAAGATCTTCTGATTTTAGACTAACAAAAACGATTAACTATGCAACAATAAAGAGGATCGGTTTCCGGACGATATAGCAACGCTTGTTACCTGCTTTAATTTTTTTTTAATCTATGTTAAAACCAGGACTAATTATTAACTCGTGGCTACGAATCAGATACGAGGTAAAGTAGATTTTATCCAGTCAGAACCATATTTTGTAATTACTTTAAGCAAAAACGTTTATTTTACTTAAAATTGCCGTAGCTTAATTAAATTTGATCATCCCATTTCCTTTAAAAGCAAGTTTCTTGTTTGTTTTTTTGTACATAGTGTCTTAGAGACAGTCACCCCACCATCCACCCCACCGTGACTATTTGCATCCTAAAAACTTCCACCAGTATCACCCCCCACGGGGAGGATTTGTCTTTCCGTCAGTTTTGCCGATGGTTTAAATTTGCCGCTCGTATGATAAACGGAAATTTTGAAAAATCCCGCGTGTATTTTAAACTGTTTCCGCCATTGTTCCAAAGTGGCCATATACGGTCATTTTTAATCATTTAACAAAGCCCATACCTAGACTTTCACTCAACAAACGAGCACTGTGATTGGTTGATTCTTGGTCACGTGCCCCTGATCAAATTCAAATGTATCCCAACCGGGATACAATTGCGCAGTTGTTGCCCGCGCGTCGAATGCAACAGCTTGTTTTTGCCATATGATTGTTTAAGAGAAAGTCTAAATATATAACAAAGCACTTAATGTATGATCCCTCGGGAAACTAGTTAGTTTTGTTTTCCTAAGAGTCCTGATGTCTCGGAAAACATCAGAACTCTCGAGAAAACAAAAATAATTGTTTCGCTCGGGACCGTAAATTAAGTATAGAATACTCTCTTGTTCTTACTTGCCCATTTACCCGCTGACTAGGTTATCTGACTAGAGATTATATTTGCGAGAATACAAATTTTAAAAGTTTCACAAAGGTTCCCTCGGGCACTACCCATGAATTGATTGTCATATGTCTTCCCTCTGTTTTTTCCTTCTGGTCGGCTGTGCCCTTTGATTTCCACGTTGAATGGTATTCTTCTCGATTTGAAAACACCTGGCCTTATTTACCTCTTACCACCACTTCCCTCTGGCTCACTGTCTATTTTTTTAACTCAGAAGAAAGAGTCAAAGAACACTTCAGCTATGTTTCTTCAGTTTAAATATTTTTGTGCAGTGATTGATTTGTTGGTGAAATGATGTTCAGTCGAACATCAAGACAAATAATAAGTATTAAAACACTACCAAGGTACTGTAACAAGTGTGGTTCATGATCATACACTTAACCTTACAAAGAGAAGCGCATTATTTGCGCAGGAATAAGTATCATAACAGATATGTAAGAATATGAAAATCACATATGTGCACTGCGGTGAAGAAACGAATGTAAGAGATCCTCGCAGCTATAAACGATAATAAAATAATAGTTGAAATAAGACCTGAAAAAATTAGGCTCGTACGGGATTTGAACCCATGACCTCTGCGGTACCGGTGCAGCGCTCTCACTACCAACTGAGCTAACAAACCAACTGGGAGCTGGTAATTATGTTGGGTCCAAAAAAACCATCCAAGTGGTGAATAATGATTGTAGATATATGAAAATCATATATGTGCACTGTGGCGAAGAAACGAATGTAAGAGATCCTCGCAGCTATGAACACTGCTGAACTAGTAGTTGAAATAAGACCTGTGGTTAAGGTCTTATTTCAACTACTAATTCAGTAGTGTTCATAGCTGTGAGGATCTCTTACATTCGTAGATATGTAAGAATTTAAGGGATCGATAATGGAATGTTCTGAAATGAACTTTGTCACGACTTGTGTATCTCTCGACTCTTGTGGTTGTTGTTCTTTGTTGTTTTTGCTTGTTTTTTGTTTTGATTTTTTACGATTTGAAGGCAAAAAAATTGTGCCCGACACACCACGGAATCCAAAGTTGCTTGAAACATAATATGCCCCTTTGTTGAGGAAATTGATGGATTTGGATTTGGATTTAGCTGTACATGTATACCCCGCTTTCTTTCCTCTCATTTCAGTTTGGGAATATTGAAGTGTGGACGTCTTTTATTCTGCAGCATACACCTTTATTGTTATCTGACGGGCTATACCAGCAACTAAACTACTCGCTACATCTAGTTACAAGCTCGGCTTTTATAGGTACGGTTGAGAATCTAGAACGTTCCGTAACATTACAGCAGATTCTATTTATATAATGATTCAGGGATGACTCAGTATGACACAGCTACTTCTAGAACATTCTTGAAAGTCACACTACAAATATGAAACATACCGAGCGAATTCATTATGTGAACATGTCACACAACACGTTCTCTTGGAACCCTCTCCCAGTGAGTGTTGGGTGACGAGCCCAAATCGAAATCCGCTGGACGGTGCTCCAAGTACAGGTCCCAAACGTAAAGATATGGCTGAAGGAAAGAAGTGAAACTTATTTCATCCATGCTGTCAGGAATATGGAAAAGCCGCTGCTTAAGTGTTCTGGTGTCATTAGGTGTCCCAGAATTGCTGTGTAACTCAGTCGGTCCTGTCAGTATTCAGGAGATCGCTGAGCGAACTGGCTGCCACACAGGCGAAAAGGTCTACAAGGTTTGAGAACCATGGCTCAGTGGGGAATTGGAGAGGAATTGAGCGAGAAACACTTCAAGGCCAATCGAGCCATGGAGTTGCTGAGGAGAGACAAAGGACGGAGTCTTGGCCATATGGTTGGATACTACAACCTTTCTTCGTGTAATGTGTAGTCAACTGCTTCATGAATTGTATCTCGTTTTTAATCAATTATACTACTGTCACGGTTCAAATGTTTTAAAAGAGAGTCTCCTAGAAAAGAGTATTATTACTTGAAACAAAGAGGAGATTCGCGGAAAATAAGCGAAACATAGACGTTTTAAACTGATATGAAACTGAAGGGAGGGGCGTAACCTGGTTTTAAAAGTAAGTGGTCTGGTATCTGTTAATGTCTTTATTATACTCGCGGAACTTCAATGCAAATCCGCGTCATTTAATTTCATAAGTTTGTTTTCTTAGCACTCAAAGGTTTGCAACAAGTTGAGAGTGCTTAACTTAATAGATTGCTGACAGCTCGTAAGGTCAAATCTAAACGTGATTTGTATCATGCAACTCCGAGTTCAAGACAACTTTTTCTCCTCCATCTTCTTTACAGCGATTTGCGTCTATCCCAAAAGTGCTGGCTACAGTACGTCATTCTGTCAGCAACAAGCCACAGGACGCTATGAATGTCTGGGTTGAAGAACTCAAGGCGGATTATTTCAGAGTGTGCCTTAGGGAAGTGAAAACATTTGATGGAAAGCATCAGAATTTAAAAGTGGCAAGTTTGACTGGAATAGTTCTAGTTCATAGAAACACATGTAGAAATACTTTGGTTTTGTTAATTGCATGGTTTTCCCTCGACAAATTCTGAAGTAAAAGGATTCAGGAAGTTTTAGCCGGATTATGAGATAAGTGTGTCAGGGTCTTCAAACTTTTGTTACTCTGAATAAGAGCACTTTTCACTTTTGACCGGTCGTTTTCAGCCGAATTGTTTAAAAAAATGCTATTCAATTGGTAGGATTGGCTGGCATTTACACAAAGAGGTGTTCAACTTACATTTCAAGGAAAATTGTTGCTTGAAAATGGCGGAGCTCCTCGGGAACAAGACAATTTCGCCTTTTGTAAGGTAAGTCGAAGGCTCGATTTCCTCTAGAGTAACACAAGAACACCTTTTAAGTGACCCGGAGAAAACATTTTAAACTAGGTAACATCAGTTTTTGATATTCGCTCTGTTCTGTAATACTCAATTCTATTGATGTCAACTTTTAACTTTACAGGTACACAACTTTACCGAAGAATTCTATGCACCCCCTGTAGTCATAGTAACAGTAAATCATCTCTACGATAGCAAGAATGTATATTCCATCAAGCCAGAGAACAATGTTCTTAATACTTGGATTGAGGTAAATTAAGTGTTATAACCTATGCCTCTATGAATGGAACTTCTTTTTGGATCATTAAGACCACTTTTCACCGGAGAAATCTTTGACACTCAAAGTTTGAACCTCGGAGCTTACCTGAGATGCACACCTGAAACGGTCCACTATTTAAATGCTAAAAAATCACAATATATCAAGTGCTTATCATTGGCGCCTCGTTTAACAAAGAACCTAATATTTTCTATTGACTCAACCAAACTTTGTTTACTTCAATTTCTGATATCTTCCGCTGTCACAATTTAATTAATCTGATTGCTGTTTCTTTACAACAGGAAATAACGATCTCATCGTTCCGTGTGTGTGTAAAAGACTTGGCAGGAATGAAAAGTCAACACGACCCCGTTACTGTTGATCTCCAGTTATGGTGGCAGCTATTCATCTACAGTGGGCTTCAGTCAAATGCACTGCAGCAGCAATCTTCAAAGTAGTCGTTACTTGGGATTCTGGTGTGACTGGAGTAGTGGTGATGGAGCTGTAATGATGATCGGTGGAGGAGGAGATTATTGCAAAAGGGCAGATCATGGGATTGCTATCACAGAAGAGGCTTCTGCGAGGTTCAACGGATACCCGGGAAACTGCGATAGAGACTTTGGTGATGACTGCAACTACTCCAACAGCTACTCCCTCAATCTGTGGATTAAGTAGCTAGATCGTTACGCTCGTATTTGTAAGAATCAGAACGGAATAGTGGTTTAGAGACAACATTAATTGAAGAGCTTTTGAATAGGTTGTTCTTTTATTAACCCAGACTCGGGATAAGGAGTTATCACGATCGTGAAATTGGAATTTGTTAGAAAAGGCGGCACTCTGCAAAATGTGATGGACAAGTTAGTCTTAAAAAATCTAATTCCCCATTCACACCAGCAAAATATATTTCGTCAAACCAAGTTTAGCTAAATGAAATCAGAATCAGAGAACTGGAAAACTCAGTGAATTTTCCATAGGATTCATGTAGTCACAAATTTTGAAGTCGACTAACATTGGTTTACGCAGGTTCTATGAAGAGGACAGTTTAAAACCATTTTTGACCAAACAGCTTTAAACATGTTTAAGCGTTAGCGTGAATGGGGTAAAAGACTTTAACCTTTGTAATTACCAAGATTGCTTTGAAGTTATTTTGATTTATAAAGTAGAATCACTTTTCCGTTAAAAGAATCTAATGCAAATGTGACACCAAAATGAGCTGAATAAACTTTTTCCACATTTCATGGTATTATAACCTGTTTAAAGATCGAAGTCGCGGGGCTGACAAAGGGGACCGCAAAAAGAACCCTTGAAATTCAAGATTTATTGTCAACTCCTACATCTACTGAACACAAGTCAATCATTTTTTCCGTTTCATCATAGTTTAAACGCTTCGGCAACTCTCCGACGAGTCAAGAGGCTTAATTCCGTTACCATAAGAAAAAGTAACTTTACTTCATTAATCTGATCCCCTCCCAAGTTCCAAGAGTGCTAACAATTTAGTTTAGCTCTTTTGTTCATCTATTTTTCTTTCTCTAATTCTTAGAGAAGTTCAGGTAGCAAGCCCCGATAGGATAATGATGATTTTCAACATCACATGTGTCTTCTCCCTCAAAAAATAAAAAGTATTAAGATGTCTGCTCAAAGAAGTTCCACGGTATTTCCGGTATTTTATTATATAGATACAGATGAAATACCAGGATTTTACCTTTAACTAAAAAATCATATCTTCATCGCGCGCAGTGAAGATACTATCTTTATTTTTCACGTGTGAGGATACTGGTGCCGCCATGGTTATTAACATGATTAGCCAATTACAAGAGAGCTTTACGCTCAGGTGCGCGGCCGGTTCTTTTGAAATTTCATTCACAAAATGGCTTCGAGGTGTAGGAATTTCATCAGTATCTATAAAAAAAACAGAACATTACATGGCCGCTTGGGGACACGAATTTTATCTTCTCATGCTGAAAGTATCTCTCACTCACTCCTGACTACTCTCAACACAGAAGTAACAACTACGACCTGAAATATGATTTATCTGTTACTGAGAGCTAATCAGTTGTCATCTTTGCGGCAACTCTTACAAAAAACACTATCAAACAGCCAGGAAAACATTGCCTTACTCAATAGAATAACAAATTTTCCTTGGAGGTTTTTCACTCGTATGAAAATTCTTTGGTACCAAACATATGTGCTTTGGAGTGAGATTTCATCCTCAAGAAATTTAAATCAGTGTCCAATTTATCACCAATGGCTCCTCAAAGCTTAAAAGTGAAATGGCTTGAGCCGAGAGAGTAGAGGTCGTCGAGGTTTGTTTTTTTTTTTTTTTATTTTTGAACAATTTTCATAATTCATCTTTATGTTGTGTTTTTAGTTGAAATGACTGTTTTATTCATTCATACACAATTCGAAGTCATTTAACTTTCCGTTAGAAGCACACCTTCAAGTTGCATACCTGACTTTCAATTTTCCCCTTACTGAGGAAAGTACTTCTCTTACTCTGACAGCTAAACTCTTTTTGCAAAATATTCCCATTGAACTCTACTAACTTTTTTTTTTTTCAAATAATCAGTCATAGCTGGTAACAAGAGTCCAAAAAAGGGTCATGTTGAATTTGCTGCATAAGTTTAAACATCAATAGCAAAAGTTTTTTCTGAAAATATTGTGCGAAAAGAAATATGCAATCTCTCTGGCGAGATTCTTACCCCGCCCTCCCTATTCAAGAGTTAAACGATACTCCGACGTCTATAAACATCCTCGGAAGCAGTTATGTACGCAGAAAGTGCCAAAACATGCCTCTTTTACAATTTGAAGAAGGAAACACCGTAACTCTTTGAATCACATGTCACACTGACATCAAGTGTGAAAAGTACCTGACGACATGATAAATTTTGACAGTCACTCCTTTAGGTTTGTTACCTACATAACCTATCCTCAACAAGTCCTGAGTTTTGCATTTGCATTTTTGCCTAAACGATTTTTAGTAAGATTAAACTTGAAAGTGAAGGGGACAAGGGTAATTTTCGAAAGAATATTTATTGATCAAGATTTGAAAAAACGTTGTTGTTGCGTTCGGGACTGACCCTACACGGGTGGAGAGGGTTGAGAAAAGAGGCACGCTCAACGTGTCATGCGCTGTCAGGTGTGTTGTTAGGTTTGAAATTCGCGATATGGAAAGTTTTGTTTGAAATATTTTATGATGACACTGTTCAAGTGAACGATTTTCAGTTGACGTTAACTTCTCGGCTCTGAGAGCATTAAGAGGAGAAGCTTATGACTATTTCGTAAAAAAACTGGAAAAAAAAACACTCAAATGATTTGCTTTTGTTGTTTTCTTCTTTCGCGTACGCCTTAAGCAATCGATACGAAGTTCAGATAAGGTCTGCAGGGGCCAGCTACGCTTAGCAAAATAAATACGACACGACAACTTCTATGCGTCCAGGTCCAGATTCCTTGTATTTCTGTACAGGATAATCACAACGAATGACAAATGACGCTCTATCCGGTGACGATTCGAAGTTATTGCTTCTTACACAGCCTAAAATCCTTCGCTAAAACTAACTCGACAAAAACGGCAAAAAAAAAAACTGCAAGTGACACTCAAGCAACGGACATGGTGTGGGAAACTGCGCCTTAGGTATATTGTCAGGGGCGCTATAATCTGTATGTAAATGCAACGAATCATTGAAGGTCGTACCTTATGATCCAAAATACAAAAAAAATTAATTAATAGTAGAATAACAAATCCCTTTTTCGATTCGATCGTTTAACATGTAATATACGAGCAGACATTCACTTCTGAAGGGGCTCGGAAAAGTACTACGCAACTCGCAAAATATCCGTACGCATTCATTATATGTTAGCCTATTAAATAAGATGTATTTCTCAAACGAAAATGGGCAGTTCTGGGATCGAGAGGAGTGCAGTGGGTACAATATGGCCACGGTCAAAAATGAAATCGAGTGAAGTTTAACAAATAGTACAACAGTGTATGTTTTTTTCGGTGAAAGGTAATTATTGCAAACGTAATGAAAATAGTTGGGAAAAGGGAATACATTCTTCCATTTACCTTTGTCGGCCGATTCTTAATATTTGTAGACAAACGCCGGTAATGTTCAACAGCACGTGCCAATCACTTCCGAAATAGCCAACCAGATCGCGCGAAAAGTTCTATTTACCTGTGTGGGATACACTAAAAACGATTCGTCTCGTTCTCGTATAGTTAAGACACCATCGATTTACATCATTCAAAGTTTTATGACGGAAAGTAACATATCATTAATCTGGACAGACAAAATATGTTATCTGCGCGGAGAGGCGAAATTTACCCAGATGACTTGGCCACGAGTTACTTTCTTCACTCGTTACCTACGTCAGAATCATAAAAGATCAATTAATAATTGAATAATCAAATTATTCTATATTGTGTTCGTTCGAGCATGCACGTTTCAGTTTCCATTTTCATTCCTCTAAAACATTCCATGTCTTGTTAATTAGATTGGGTCTATTTCAGTCCTGTACATGGTCTTAAGTAGACGACATGTGGCAGAGAACTGCCTTTGTTTTACCGGTGGTCATCTGTTTTATTGTGGGATCGAATATTTCCTATAGTTCTAACACTGGTGAGTCAACTAATATAGCTCTGACTCTTTTGTTACACTTGTTATCGTAAACGCCTTTATTTAGGATGCTCTTTTGGGGTGTCATTATTGTTAAAAAACAACTGATTTTCACAGGCTTAACCACGAGGAAAGAAAGCAAGGACCAGGAGAAAAAAATTGTAACTAAAAGGCAGTTTAAACGAGGAATTGGTAAGTTTTGTTCGTCTTGCATAGTGTCTCATCAAAAGAAGTTTTTGGGTTATTCTTCTAAGATGCATATTAGATATATAACGTAATACGCGGTATCGCTGTAGGTGAGTTCATTTGACTTAATGTAATTAATTATGTGACAGCCACACTGCGAATAATTTTTAAACTTCAGAATATATGGGGAAATTGACAAGCAAGGTTTATTTGGCTCTTTACAAAGATTTAGTCTTCCAGGATATAGGTGCAGCAATATGGCACTTTCTATAAGTACTACTCTGGTTATGACTTCTGAACTGTCACAACAAACAAAATGATTTTATTTTTGTTTTTTACATCTGATAATGATAAAAATTGAATCGAACTATGGTAAACGAAAAAAAGAAGAGCAAGAAATTTATAAACTGATAATAAATTAAGTATATGAAAATACGGAAGGCCTAGCCACTTTGAAAGGGAAAATGCTAGTTGCGTTACTTCCTGGCTGAGTGCTGCTTTATAAGGAACTTTAAAACGGCAGAAGAAAAAATGGAAAAATTACAGATTGAGATGAATTTTAATTTTTGTGGTTGATTTCCGAAAATGACTTAATCATTGAATTAAGGAATTGATGTTGTTTGATTAATGAATTTCTATAACCACTAAAGTGTCACATTGGTGTACCTATTAACGCTATTGGAAAAACGTATTTTTAAAAGCAATTAAGAGTCTACCAATACAAAAACTATACAAAAATAGGGTCCTTTGAAAATATAACTCAGGTGTACCTGTTTTATTGAAAATGGTCTGCAGTGGTAATTCTAGTCACCACAGAACGTTATCATCTTGATGATGTTATTTTTGGTAATTTGTTGATCCGTTCTATTTAGTTATTCATCTATAATTTTGCTTAAGGTGAGGAGCTTAACACTTTGAAAGAAAAAGCGAAACAAGCGAGTTCCGTCTTCAAGTGGCTAAAGAGAAATTGGCAAAAACTCTTTGTGATCGTCGTTGCCATATTTTCATTGCTAGTAGTTGTGGGGATCTACAGAAGATGTTTCTCTGATTCTGGGTGAGTGAAGGCCCCTGATTTGAACACAAACCAAACATTATTCTCCTATTTTATAAAATTTAGCGTAAACTCCGCCTGTCGTTTTAGTTGGCTTGCGTGCGGGTTAAAAAAAATTGAAGATCATGTGTTCAACAAATAAGCCCTTGATAAGATTAATGGAAATATAAAAAACTAAAGAGAAAGGAAAGCAAATTTCAAATAAAAGGTAGTCAAAATTAGCGTCAGAGGTAGGAGCTGATGTAGGGTCGAGGAGCATATTACTAATATTGATCGTGAGAAATGCCTTAAATGATCTTCAGACGCCAAACACAACCTTCTATTTATTTCTAGTTCTGGCGAAGATGATGAACAACCAAACGTAATCGTCGTAAAAATGCCTA